TAATCAGCTCTTGACTCTTCTCGTTTATGCCCAGGAACACTCCACTTTCCCATCTCATTTCGAGCTTCTCACGACCTTTGTGCGCAGGAGCCTGTAAATACATGACACACTCACCGAACTCTGGGCTTTGCTTGTTAAATTTTCGTCCCCTGCACCTCTCATGAGCCGTCTTCCCATCCGTGTCTATAGTGAACTTGTTAATCAAAGAGGACGCATAACTCACCAGCCAAGGTATTATCTGATGGCTTTCTCCAAACTCAGTTTTATAATTGGCGTCCAAGGCGCTCTTTAACGTTCTGACCTGGCCCTGCACCGTTCTAACGGCTCTCTCAATTTCGCCGTTGGCCTTTGAGTCTCCCACTGAGCTGACCTCAACTCCCATGTCAAGATCACACGAAGCTTTAATCCTATTGGCCAATGCTGTGATTGCCGCTTCCCCATCACTTTTGAGTATCACTTTCTTGTATCCGGTAAAACTTATCATGTCACATCCTACTTTTACCGAGTACGAGTCCACTCCCTTTTTCATGAACACTCTGCTCCAAGTCAATGTGGTCTCTCTGCAATGCATGACCAAAATTGGGTTGCCATTGCTGCTGCTTTCACCTTCATCTTTTCTTCCTTTAAGCCACATGTAGTCCATTGAAATTACTGGCACGTTCCCGTTCCCCTCTCTTTTGCGTCTACGGTGATTGCGTCTGCGAGCTTTTCCTCTGACGCAATGTGGGCACCAGCTTCGGTAAGGTAGATGCGTCGTGTTATGCGCTTCAACTTCCTCTTTTGAGGGCCTCATGTCACAGTAAACTTTCTTTGGTAACTCTGCTTCATCACTCACAAATACATCTTCCACATCACTTAACTCACTGTCGTTGCCCCCACTTTCACTCCCTTCGTCTCCTTCGGTGTTAAAGACGTTTAAGTTTTCGCTCGGTCTTACGGGTGACGGGGGGCTTAGTAGAACAGATCCGCCTCCAGGGTTCCCGGCCGCGGAAAACCCTCAGTCACGTTCACTTCACTCCTGGGATTGACGACTTCCGCTGGTCCCTTCGGCACCGCGATGTTGAACTGGAATGTGCCATTCTTTTCGTGGATGGCTGTTAACTTGCCAGTCGCCTTGTTCATGATGTGGCTCAGGGACCTCCCGTTAGGGTCCTTGTCGAACACCACTCTGTTTCCAGCGTTTACCATTTCTCTGACCGACCCTAGGACCTTGTTGACCTCTGCTACCTGAATTGGCATACTGACTGCGTTCCCATGCTCATTTTTACCTGTGATCACGCGTTGACCATAATTCTTTATCGTGGTTCCATTCGCTGCACTGTAGTGTCGTCCCTGCTTTGACGCGTCCGCATGCTTAATAGGGAAATGAGTGCCAACTTTGGGGGGCCCCACTGTGTTGTAGGCGCCGGAGTCCACGGTGACCACGATCGTCTCGTGTGTTGTACTTGGCGGTGGCACCGCGTTAATCTCTGGATCACATCCCCGCATCTCAATTAGCCCACTTTCCTTGCATTTCGCCAGCCAACTTTTTTCCTGCCTCACGCTTTTACTTATTCTTTGATCCCACTGACTAGCATGATGACGGTCCCCGTTGTACTGGTGTTCCTGATAGATTCTTCTCAAGTTTACCGCGTTGTCACGCGCCGTCTTCTTTCTGGCGTAATAGGGCAGGTCCCATTTCTCGTTAACCTCCTCGATCGCAGTCTGGTCTAGCGACACGTTCATTGCTTCCTTCATCTCGACGCTGAGAACGTGCTGTGGTTGACCAAACGAGGTGGTTTGTTCAGTTTCAGCGTTCACTACAGGCTTCTCTTGCTCGACTTCATTGGCGGTCTTCTTGGAGCCCGGACAGTTAATGGCAATATGCCCTTTTCCGCCACACTTGTAACATTCACGTTCACTGTGCGGGGTAAATTTCCCTTGGCTTCCGTAGCTTCCCCCCCACGAGCTACTTCCTTTACCCCCTTGTTTGCCTCCGATCTTACCTTTCACATAGGACCCGTAAGTGGCTCGGTAACCTTTGCCTTTTCCGCCCTTGCCACCTTTACCTCCTTTGGTGAACTGCTTGGGTCTCGTGCAGTTCCTGGCTAAATGGCCCATGCCTCCACAATTGTAACACCTGGGGCCCGTTCCTTTACCCTTACCTTTGTTCACGGCGTCAATTTCTTCATATTCTCCACCGTCACTTTCATTGGCCCAGGACCCGTGATTCCACGATCCATCCTCTGACCACCAGTTTCCATCTTCGTCAACCCATCCTGTTTGGTCCCAAACGTTTTCGGACCCTTGACTCATCTCGTTGATATTCCCAATGTCCATTGCATCCTTATTTTTTGTGTCTGAGTCAAGTTTCTTTTTACGCGCCCAGTCTTCGCACTTTGAGTGTAATTTCTGAAATGAGTCAATGTTAAGCGCGTCAGGCGTTCGCCAACATGCCTGCTGCCATTCGTCAAACCAGTCGTTCGCGCGCACCATTATGGCCCTGAGCGCGGTGACTTTGAAAGGAAGAGGCAGCGAGTAAGATTTGCCATATTTCTCAAGATTTTCTGCCAAAGCGCTCCATTCCTCAAGTCTGGTCACGGCGTCGGTGATCTTCTTGGGCGGTTCAGGATTCATGGCATGCGTCATTTTTGATGATAAGGTCGCACCGGTTACTGCCGAGTACCACTTGTAAACCTTTTGCCAAGCCATGATTCCATCTCCATCCATCAGTCCCTTTAATTTTCCTCTGGCCTCCGCACCTTCAAGTTTCTCGTTCAGAATGTACCATAAGTCTTCTTCCATTTGAGTCTTGTCTCCTTCGGTAAACTCATATTCGCCTTTGTTGTCGTCCTCGGCTTGTTTGGCTTGACTTGCCTTCAGGTACTCGCTTGCAGTTAATCGACCGTTCATTATGCGTATGATGTCATTTTCGTCTTCTTCTGGCACAACTCCGTCAAGCGTCTCCAGCTTCTTGTTTAGCATTTTCAGTGCCGGTCGGTAACTCGGCTTCACTTGGGCTAGTGCGTTCAAGAATTTGTCGTTCCAGTCTCTGAACTTCGCTCTTTCCCCACTGAAGTTCTTTAGCGCCTGTAACGCTTTATATTCGCTTATCGGTTTACTGCTCCCGTGCTTGTTTCCGCTTCCTCCTTTGATCGCTTCCGAGATCTGACCGAACCTTTCGATTAACTTTTCTTGTACTTCACTGTTAGTCTCCAACTCGGTGACTCTTTCCACCAGTCTGCGAGCATCCCTTTCGAGCGCAGCGTTTCTCTTCGTGATCGCTAACAGCATACTGTTGGTCTTGTGGGCACTCTGTAACATTTGGAATGCTTCGGCGTTCGATACTTCCCTTCGGTCCTGTGCTACTCGCTCGTTAATGAACGTTGCGAGTCCAAAGTGGTTCGCGAGTAGCGCCGTTTGAACGTAACTGAAGTCTCCGTTCACGTATGCTTGCTCGCACAGATCGTTGAATCTATTCGGATCCATGTTGACCCATGCATCTCTGTCTGCCGGTACATTGAGATTAACTGGCGGGTCGCCCTGTCCAGGTCTGGCCGCAGCTGCCGCTGCCGCTGCCATGGCAACCGCGCTCCGCTACCATGCAAAACCCCGAGGAGGGTTCTGCACGGGAGCTTGGCGACAATGATAACGATAGGTCACCTTTGTACTCCCGAACGGCACAACTGGTCGATGTGGATTCGACCGTTAAACACTTGAGCCAAAGGCAGCGGGGTTACTATTCCTCCCCTGTCACACGCATGCTTGCATGTTAACACCTCCTCCTCCTCCTCCTCCTCCTCCTCCTCCTCCTCTCCTCCTCCTCCTCCTCCTCCCTCCTCCTCCTCCTCCTCCTCCTCCTCCTCCCCCTCCTCCTCCTCCTCTCCTCCTCTCCTCCTCCTCTCCCTCCTCCTCCTCCTCCTCCTCCTCCTCGTCTCCTCCTTCCCTCCCTCCTCCCTCCTCCCCTCCCTCCCTCCCTCCCTCCCTCTCTCCCTCCCTCCTCCTCATCCGACTCCTCATCCCGTTCCTCCTCCCCCTCCTCATCCTCCTCCTCCTCCTCCTCCTCCTCCTCCTCCTCCTCCTCCTCCAGCATCATCATCATCATCATCATCATCATCATCATCATCATCATCATCATCATCATCATCATCATCATCATCATCATCATCATCATCATCAGCATCATCATCATCATCATCATCAGCATCATCATCATCATCATCATCATCATCATCATCATCATCATCATCATCATAATCATAATCATCATCAGCATCATCATCATCATCATCATCATCATCAGCATCATCATCATCATCATCATCACCATCATCATCATCAGCGTCATCATCATCATCATCATCATCATCAGCATCATCATCATCTTCATCATCATCATCATCAGCAGCAGCATCATCACCACCACCACCACCACCACCATCATCATCATCATCATCATCAACATGATCATCATCATCATCATCATCATCATCATCATCATCATCATCATCATCATCGTAATCATCATCATCATCAGCATCATCATCCTCATCATCAGCATCATCATCAGCAGCAGCAGCATCATCAGCATCATCATCATCACCACCACCACCATCATCATCATCATCATCAACATCCACATCATAATCATCATCAGCATCATCAGCATAACCATCATCAGCATCATCATCGTCATCGTCATCGTCATCATCAGCAGAATCGGCATCATCATCACCAGCATAACCATCATCATCCTCATCATCATCAACATCAGCATCATCATCGTCATCATCATCATCAAAATCATCATCAACCTCAACATCAGCATCAGCATCAGCATCATCATCAGCAAAAGCATCATCATTATCAACATAATCGTCATCAGCATCATCGTCCTCGTCGTCATCGTCGTCATCACCACCATCATTCATTATCGGCATCAAAACAACATCAATATCATCGTCATTGTCAGCACCATCATCATGATGACTTGCCGCAGGCAGCTGGATACCAAGATGCGCGGGCGCGCGGGCTCTTGCCATCCCGGCTCCTGCCCAGGAGTCCTGCCGCTGAGGCGGGCGAGCGCGGGCATCAGAAACGCACACGTCTTGCCGCTGCCGGTCTTGGCTACACCGACGAGGTCGTTACCCTGAAACGCTATGGGCCATGCCTGCGCCTGGATCGGCGTCGGCGCCGCGTACCCCTGCTTGCGCAGAGCCTTGACGAGGGCTGGGCCCAGCAGATGAGACGCGCTCTCAAACGTCTCAAGGGGGGCAGCGCAGACCTCGGGAGCCACAATCTGGTGAGCAGCACGGAATGCGGCCGCACCCTTGATCTGACCATCGTTTGGGACAGAAGGGCCATCCACCTTCGGCTTCTTCGAAGCAGCAGGGGCGTCCGTGGCCGAGCTACGCTTGTGTTCCTTGCTCCGCGCTACGCGGAGAGCTTCCTGCCCCGGTGTAGTCGCACTGCCCCCCTCGGCACTCGGCAAATATGTCTCGAGCTCGCCCTTTAGCCGTTTCGCCTTCTTTTTCTGACGGATCGCAGGCTCAACCACCTCCTCCGACGCCCCACCCCCACTATGTGCACTCCCACCGTGCCGCCCTGTGAGCCCCAATCGGCGCGCCTTCACCTTTGTGACGCATGGTTGATCCGCGGGACACTCCTCTTTGGGTACGCCTGTCTTGCTCTGCTTGCCCTTCTTCTTCTTCCGCAGGCAGATAGACAGCCCCGCATGGAGCACCTTCCGCATGCGTGCAAACTGCCTTCCTCATCCACGCATCACAACGGCCACCTCGAGTCGGCGCTTGAGCCACAACGGCTACGGATAGATACCTCACAAGCACTACCCACGTCTTGGCACGAAGCACGCAGGAACCTATCCAGGCAAGAACGGGAAGCACCGCTTCTCTGAGTTTACCTGCGTGCTTGCACGGATGTGCACGCAACGCAACATGGGTACACATAGGATACCGTCGCTAGGTTTCCTCGAATGCCTGGATGGTTACCCTTACCAGTTCGCTCGTAGTGGCTGCCTGCGGATGCCCTGGTCAAGTGTTTCGCGTGGCCTCTGTACGTGTGTGTGTGCGAGTGCATGTGCATGCGTGTGCGCGTGTGTGTATGCATGTGCGTGTGTGCATGTGCGCGTGTGTGGTTGCATGTGCGTGTGCATATGTGGGTGAGTGTGAGTGCGTGTCAGTGTGTGTGTGTGTGACTGTGTGAGTGTGTGAATGTGTGACTGTGTGGTGGTGTGTGGGTGAGTGTGTGAGTGTATGAGTGTGAAAGTGCGTGAGTGTGTGAGTGTGTGAGTGTGTGAGTGCGCGAGGGTGCGTGAGTGTGTGAGTGTGTGTGTGCGAATGTGTGAATGTGTGAGTGCGTGAGTACGTGAATGGGTGAGTGTGTGGGTGTGTGAGTGCTTGGGTGTGTGAGTGTGTGAGTGCGTGAGTACGTGAGTGCGTGAGTGTGTGAGTGTGTGAGTATGTGAATGTGTGTGAGTGCGCGAGGGTGCGAGTGCGTGAGGGTGTGAGCGCGTGCGTGTGAGTGCGTGAGCGTGTGAGTGCGTGTGTGAATGTGTGAATGTGAGTGTGTGAGTGTGTGAGTGTGTGAGAGCGTGAGTGTGGGAGTGTGTGAGTGTGTGTGTGTGTGAGCGCGTGAGGGTATGCGTGCGTGTGTGAGTGTGTGTGAACGTGCGTGTGTGGGTGTGTGAGTGTGTGCGTGTAAGTGTGTGAGTCGCTGCTACCTGGTCGTGGTTTGGACTACCACCCCGGGACTCTTCCGCATCACCCGGTGGCACAACGTTGCTCATCGCCTTCGTGGTGCTCTTCCTCCTCCTCCTGGGCGTCGACCTGATCAAGTGGAACGTCCTCCTCTGCAGTGCTTGAGGCTGGTGTTCGCGATGCGCCGTCGACGGCAACACCTTCTCCTTCGCCCTCCGGGTCTTCGCCCCCGGTACCAGTCCGCGGCGTACCTGCTCCTACACTTCCACTTCGGCACCGCCTGCACCCCGGGCTCCGCCCGCTCCGGCCGCCTGAGGCCCCGCCTTCCTGTGCCCTGTCTCCCTAATTAAAGCTGTGCGTAGCCCGCCTAGCTTTTAGCGGAAGAGGTTCGCTCTCGCCCCGCAGATCAAAAAAAAGTGTAAGTGTGTGAGTGAACTAGTGAGTGAGTGTGTGACTGAGTGTGTGAGTGAGTGACTGTATGAGTGTGTGAGTGTGTGGAAGCGTGCGTGTGTGAGTGCGTGAGTGTGTGAGTGTGTGAGTGCCTGAGTTCGTGAATGCGTGAGTGTGTGAGTGTGTGAGTGTGTGAGTGTGTGAGTGTGAATTTGAGTGCGAGAGTGTGTGAGTGTGTGAGTGTGTGAGTGTGTGAGTGTGTGAGTGCGTGTGTGTGTGTATGTGTGAGTGTGTGTATGAGTGTGTGAGAATGTGAGTGTGTTTGTGTGAGTGTGTGAGTGTGTGAGTGTGTTTGTGCGAACGTGAGAGCGTGTGAATGCGTGAGTGCGTGAGTACGTGAGTGTGTGAGTGTGTGAGTGAGTGAATGTGTGTGAGTGTGAGTGTGTGAATGTGTGAGAGCGTGAGAGCGTGAGTGTCTGAGTTCGTGAGTGTGTGAATGTGTGAGTGTGTGAGTGTGTGCGCGTGTGTGTGTGAGTGTGAGAGTGTGTGTGTGAGTGTGTGAGTGTGTGAGTGTGTGAGTGTGTGAGTGTGTGTGAGAGTGTGTGAGTGTGTGGGTGTTTGAGTGTGTGAGTGAACTAGTGTGTGAGTATATAAGTGAGTGTGTGAGTGAATGACTGTATGAGTGTGTGACTGTGTGGGAGCGGGCGTTTGTGAGTGTGTGAGTGTGTGGGGGGGTACCCATCGGGCGTTGGCAGAACTAGGTTTAGTGGGACCTGATTTAGTGATGTGTACTCGGGGGCGCCCCCCCCGCCCCGTTCCACTAACCAGAACTGCCGTCACCCGAAAAAACACCTGCTACGGCAGACCTGGTTTATCGATTCTGGCCAATTCAAGAGCTCGGGGGCCCTACCACTAACCGGGTCCCCTTACCTGGGGTCCTGGCTATTCCCGAACCCAGCCAGCACGGCGGCACATCCGTCTGGTGGCAGCATGGAGAGGTTGGGGGCACTGAGCAACCATCAGGCGGGAAACCCATCCCGCGCTGGATGTGTAGGGGTACCCAGCCAGCACGGATGCATACCCATCCTGCGGCCGCTCAAGGGGTAGGGGTACCCAACCGGCACGGCGGGATACCCATCCGGCGGCACCATGGAGAGGGGAGAAACTAAAATACACATCCGGCGAAATACCCATCCGGCGCTGGATGTGTAGGGGTACCCAGCCCGCACGGCGGCATACCCATCGGGCGCCCGCTGGATGGGTAGGTATACCTAGCCAGCACGGCGGGATACCCATCCTGCGGCCGCTGGATGGGTGGGGGCCTTCAGCCGGCACGGCGGGATACCCATCCGACGGCCGCTGGATGGGCAGAGGTACCCAGCCGACACGGCCGCATACCCCTACGGCAACAGCATGGGGGTGGGAGGGCACTTAGATACCCATCCTGCGGGATCCCCATCCGGCGCCGGATGGGTAGGAAAAATACCTGGCCGGCACGGAGGAATGCCCATCCGGCGGCAGCTGGATGGGTAGCGGCCTTCAGCCAGCACGGCGGGATACCCATCCGACGGCCGCTGGATGGGTATGGGCACCCAACCGGCACGGCGGGATACCCATCTGGCGGCCGCTGGATGGGTAGGGGCACCCAGCCGGCATGGCAGGGATACCCATCCCGCGGCCGCTGGATGGGTAGAGGTAGCCAACTTGCACGGCGGGATACCCATCCGGCGGCAGCATGGAGGGGAGGGGAGGGGGCACTGAGATACCCATCTGGCGGGATAACCCATCCAGCGCTGGATGGGTAGGGGTACCCAGCCAGCACGGCGGCATACCCATCTGGCGGCCGCTGGATGGGTAGGGGTACCCAGCCAACACGGCGGGATACCCAGCCGGCGGCCGCCGGATGAATGGAGGTACCCAGCCGACACAACGGCATACCCATCGGGCGGCAGCATGTGTGGGGAGGGAAGCACTGAGACCCATCTGGCGAGATACCCATCCGGCGCTGGATGGGTAGGGGTACCCTGCCGTCACAGCGGTCGGTATAAACATCCGGCGGCCGCTGGATGGGTACTTAGGGATACCAAGCCAGCACGGCGGGATGCCCATCCATCCGCTGCTGGATGGATAGGAGTACCCAGCCGGCACGGCGGCATACACATCCGGCGGCCGCTGGATGGGTAGGGTTACCCAGTTGGCCAGCGGGATAATCCCACCAGCCCTCTGGGCGTCGGTGGTTTAGGGCGTTTCCTCTTCCACCTCTCCTTCTTCCCCTTCGGGGAAGGGTTTACCACTGTTCCCTATTAATAAACACCCCCTCCCCCAGGCGACTGGGGGCCAACCAGGGTCCATGACAACCCCCCCCCACCATTCCTTGTAAAAAATTACCCTGCGACGTACCCAACCCAATGGCATCAAGTGGCAAGCGGAGTAGGGAAACATTAGCAGGAACCGTGACAGTGCAGGCGCGGCGATTTGTAGTGCGACCTACATGGGATGCGTAATGTTGCACGACTCACAGAACAGCAATCGATAAGACGAGGAGTATGTCACAAGGCTTGTTAAACAATAGCGGGGGCGGGAACGAGGGACAGGAGAAGGACGAACCCAGTAGGAAGGGGCGAGGAGCCATCGCAGCAGCAGCACCATGAATGCATAAGGTAACAGGAGGAGCGGGCATGATGGGCAACCTCACTTCCAAGCCAAATCGCCACAGTGATCATTCATCATGCTCGTGGTCAAAAGAACTGAGTGACAAGAGAGCCCGAGGGGCAACCTCACCTCTGAAACGACCCGCGTCAGTGGTGACAGTTTCCCAGAATGGCAGCCCCCCAGGGACGGCGAGGTCTAATCTGAATCTGGGTGGTGCCTCACTCCGCGGGACTGACCAGCAGCCTTCGAAAGTGGTGACAGTTTCACAGATCGCAGCCCCCCCCAGGGATGGTGAGGTCTAATCTGAATCTGCGTGGTGCCTCACTCCGCTGGACCCACCAGCAGCCCTCGAAAGTGGTGACCGTTTCGCAGATCGCAGACCCCCAGGGATGGCGAGGTCTAATCTGAATCTGCGTGGTGCCTCACTCCGCTGGACCCACCAGCAGCCCTCGAATGTGGCGACAGTTTCGCAGATCGCAGCCCCCCAGGGATGGCGAGGTCTAATCTGAATCTGCGTGGTGCCTCACCCCGCTGGACCCACCAGCAGCCCTCGAATGTGGCGACAGTTTCGCAACCAGCAGCCCTCGAATGTGGCGTCAGTGTCGCAGATCGCAGCCCCCCAGGGATGACGAGGTCTAATCTGAATCTGCGTGGTGCCTCACTCCGCTGGACCCACCCACAGCCCTCGAAGGTGGCGACAGTTTCGCAGATCGCAGCCCCCCAAGGATGGCGAGGTCTAATCTGAATCTGCGTGGTGCCTCACTCCGCTGGACCCACCAGCAGCCCTCGAATGTGGCGTCAGTGTGGCAGATCGCAGCCCCCCAGGGATGGCGAGGTCTAATCTGAATCTGCGTGGTGCCTCACTCCGCTGGACCCACCAGCAGCCCTCGAAAGTGACGACAGTTTCGCAGATCGCAGCCCCCCAGGGACGGCGCGGTCTAATCTGAATCTGCGTGGTGCCTCACTCCGCTGGACCCACCAGCAGCCCTCGAAA